GCACTTAGCAATTCTGGGATGCAGACAGTAACTATGAAAATCACCATCAAAATCCCACGAGGTGAAGGAAGCCCAGTAAGGGAGCGGGGGCTCCTAAGCCTTGTTGCAATATGGTGGGTAGGGCGGGGACAGGCCAGGGTTAGTGGGCTCCAGTACTTGACGGGCATTTTCTCCATGGACTCTGTGCCCCCCCACTGGGCTGAGGACTGCTGCCCAGGCTGGGGTTGCTATGGCTGGGCCCTAAAGGGACTGGGGAATTCTCTCTAGGAACAGAACAGAATGTGGGGGAGGGGTGTCCATGACACAAGCCAGAGCAGATTAGAGGAGTGAAAGGGCCCGTTTATCCTGTCCCTGCAAGAGATTTACAGCCACAGAGCTGCTAACGAAGGTCTGTAATTCAGCCACTTTAATGAGCCTGCGCTGCCCTTGAATGCAGCTCCAGCCTCTTTCCTGACACATTTTCCTCAGTGCCGAACCTGCTGCTGGGAAACCAGCGAAAGGAGGAAATAACCCACAGCAGCAATATCTGGGAGCAGGGACCATGTGAGTGGTGTCTATCCCACTCCCACAGGGTGGGACCCCACATTCTTAAGGTAGGGTGGGGAGGGAGGTGGATCTTCCGCTAGTCTAATGGATAAGACATCAGCCTCTGGAGCTCGGGGTTGCGGGTTCACTTGGCTTGGGTTGCCACCGCTAGCCAAACTCCAAGGGCTACGCTGGCCCCCTTGCTGGGGATTGTTCCTGACATGCCCTTCGCCCAGATGTTGTGGCAGTGAGGGGGCGATGGTGTGCTCTGAAATCCGAGATTTGGTGGGGACCCTGGAAGGAGGCAGAGCAAGAGGAAAACAAACACAAGAAAAACAGGGAGAGGAGCAGAAATTTCAGAACCTGGGTAGGAAAGAGCAACCTGTCCTCACAGCATCTTGGGCAAGGCTCTGGCGTTTTTGTTCCCCTGGTCCTTCCAGTGTCTCCCCTGGTGGAGTGAAATGCTGGTCTCCCAGTGATCCCCACCTTGTCTATGTGCAGTCAGGCTCCTCAGGTGGGGAGGCAGGTGCCCAGTGAGCGCCTGGTGCAGCCCTGCCAGCTCTGAGGATCAGTGCAGGGAGACAAGCCTGCCTTGCTTGGTGCCCCTTCATGAGCTTCTCCCTGTGTGTTTGGGAACTCGCTCCAGCACCATTACCAGGCACAAAAGCCCCTATTGTCCCAGGCTGTGGGGGATTCCCAGGGAATGGTTCAAACCGAAAACAGAGACACCAAAACTATGCTAGTAACAGCAAAAACGCAGCCTGGAGCTTCAGGAACAAAGAGTCGACCTCGGGCGGGGGTGGAAAGGGGAGAAGGGGCTGAGAAAGGAGCTGGAACAAAGCCATGTTTATAAACAAGTCCCCACTGCTTTGCCCTAGCACTCAGGGGCTCCTGGAAACGTAGCCGGTTGGGTCACAGGCTTAGCACGTCAGGCCCTCTTCTCTTCCTGCTCCACAAGGCACCAATGTACCCGCCTGTAATTGAATTAGCTGCACAAAGGCATCTCTCACTGCAGCCGCTGTGCTGCTTACAGTGCCCCTTGCTGGAGAGGTCTGCCACTGCAGCAGCTCCCTCATGACTGACGTGTCTATTCACTGCAGTGCCTCCTGCTGGGGGAAGAATCTGGGACCAGCTCCTGGTTTTCACTTTCCCTCTGGGCCCACCCACAGTGACAAGTCTTTTTGCAGTAGCTGGGCTCCTAGTTCGGTTCTTCCCCACCCCCCAGGCTCCAAACTCTTAGTTCAGGGCTAGCAGTACTCATGAAAGAGCACAGTGCTTTCTGCAGGGAACTCCCCTCGGAAGGCTAGGAATGGCCACCTGTCGTCCTTTCCCCCAGGCAGAGGGAGAACAGCGCATCTTTCCGACCGGGGTAGCACCCTGGGTGCTGGGGAGAAGAAGACTGTTTGCACAAAGAGGCTGGTCTATCAGCCAAGCACAGCTCTAGCCAGGGACTGCACACAGAGCCACAGGAGATTGTGCAGTGCCTCGCTGAGGCTGTTCCCTGCCTGAGGGAGACCCCTGTCAGTCAGACCCAGGCACAGCACCTCGGCCCAGGCCTGGAGAGCCCACTCCACACACAGGCCAGGAGTAAAGATTTGCGGCCAGGTGTGCTGTTCGCAAACACTCCCCACCTGGCAGCCTCTGCGGGATCCACATGACCAGCAGCAATGGGCACAGTTGCTGCTCTGGGGGCAGGGGAGGCATGTTCCCCATGGCCCTAACCTGCAATCCTCAGGCACCTAACGGGGAACTGCCTGCCTGCCTGGGAGACACGCGCACACAGCACCAGGACAATGGAAATGCTGCCATGGGGCGACCCAGCTAGCACGTCCCGGGGAAGGAGCATTTGCAGGCAGCACTGTTGGTTGGGACTTTTGCAACATTCCTAGCATGGATCATCCCAGCCCTCGCAGGGCAGACCACGCTATGGCGCCGTATGGCGAGGATACTCACAGTCCAAGAAACACCACTTGGGAGACAGCTTCTGAGATGAAAGCGTCTTTACTTTGGCTCCATCCCCTTCCTGCACAAAGAGAAGCGAGTGACATTTCCTCCATTCATTCCTGCACTGGGAGTTTGGGCAGGCTCAGACTTATGGCCCTTTGACAGAAGCGGTTTGCACCCAGGCATGGCATGGGAGACAGTGGGACACAGAGGGCCATGGCACAAGAGGCAGAGAACACAGGCACGGCATAGGGTGCAGCTGCAGACAAATACACCAAACTAACTGGGGAGGTGTTCACAAGCCCACACGACTGGCACCACATACAGGACCGATAATCCAGGAGGGAAGGGAGGTGGTTGATACACACCTGAAGGAGCAGGCACTGTAAGGAAGGGGGGCATGGAAGAAAATCCTGCGAAGAGGTAAGGGGGGGGTTATCACATTCATTCAACTGCCTTCCTCTCTCAGCACACACCTGTATGAGGTGCCAGCCCCTGCCACAGCATGTACCTGCCCTGATCTATGCATTCTCAGCACTGAGCCCCCACACCCCTTGGGTTCAGAGTTTCATGACGTGCTCCAGATGGAAAATGAAAGGGGGGCAGAAAGGCAGCAGCCAAACCCGAGAACTGGGTGTCCCAAGCTGCCCAGCTCCTGTGTCCTCAGACACATCATCAAAAGCATAAGCCAGGAGACAGGCCAGGCCACTCCTAGGGCCCTCACCCCTTCCAGCTGCAGGAACTTCCCCAGGATGTAGCCAGAGTTGCTTCCCATGACTTCATGAGAGGGACGGGATTGGGTAAGGGCTGAGATATTAGGCCAGGGGAGCACAAGATACAGACCAGGGGCCGGCCCCGGCCCGCCAAGCTTTTCAATCCAGTCCACAGACTATTGCGCTGGACCCACAGGCAGGGAGCAGACCCAGGGCTCAGAGCGGCTCGCTGCTCCATCTGCCCGTCTATGCTGGGGGAAAAGGGGCAAGCTTTGCATGTTGCAAACCCCCTCCTTCACTCAAACTGCCTCTCAGACCCCACCCCCTCTCCTGCACCCCAATCCCTTACCCTGAGCTCCCTTCTGCACCTAACGTCCATCCCAGACCCCACAACCCCTCCACAGAAAAGTGCAGCCCTTGACCACTTTCCAAAGCCTTGGATGGCCCCCCACCAAAACTTATTACCCACCCCTGTATTAGGCCCTCACCAAACCCATCACTATGGCTGTCCAGCCACGTGTCTGTGAGTGTCTCCTCCCCCCCAGACACCTAATCCAGGCATTGCAGGGACTGGCACGTGAGAAATAAAGAAAAGCAGGAGAGGAATAGGCAGGTTCCTGCATGCCAGCCCACACAACCTGTGCTGTCAGTAAACATGGCAGATTGCGCCTCTCTCTGTTCCTCCATCCTGCCTTGTAGCCCTCCTCCAGGCATTGGGCAAGGAGAGGCCAGTAGGTAGGTGGAAAGAGAAGGCGTTTGTCTTGCTCTGAATATCAACAAAATCCTAGTCCCTCCCCCAAACCTGGGTGCAGTGCAGTGTCCGTCTCCCCCTGTTGGGTGCCCCTTTCTCTCCCCTCTTGTACTAGTGTGAGCTCCTCAGCCCCCACCTCGGGGGGCAGAGAGTTTTGTTTCTCTTAGTGCCTGTGGATTTATGCGTTTCCCCTGCCCAGCTCTCCTCTCTCTCACAGACTGGGGAGCTCCAGGGGTGTGCCTCAAGGCACTGCACCAGCCCTGGACCCTGGTTTCTTTCTTCCCTACCTCCTGCAAGGGATTTGGCTTCACCTGCAGGGGCCCTGCACAGCCAGAGAGTGGGCTACCTGTGACCTAGGAAGTGCTGCAGGACCCTTGTCTGGTTTGTTAGGGTACGTCTAAACTACATGCCTCCGTCGACGGAGGCATGTAGTTTAGACGTACCCTAACAAACCAGACAAGGGTCCTGCAGCACTTCCTAGGTCACAGGTAGCCCACTCTCTGGCTGTGCAGGGCCCCTGCAGGTGAAGCCAAATCCCTTGCAGGAGGTAGGGAAGAAAGAAACCAGGGTCCAGGGCTGGTGCAGTGCCTTGAGGCACACCCCTGGAGCTCCCCAGTCTGTGAGAGAGAGGAGAGCTGGGCAGGGGAAACGCATAAATCCACAGGCACTAAGAGAAACAAAACTCTCTGCCCCCCGAGGTGGGGGCTGAGGAGCTCACACTAGTACAAGAGGGGAGAGAAAGGGGCACCCAACAGGGGGAGACGGACACTGCACTGCACCCAGGTTTGGGGGAGGGACTAGGATTTTGTTGATATTCAGAGCAAGACAAACGCCTTCTCTTTCCACCTACCTACTGGCCTCTCCTTGCCCAATGCCTGGAGGAGGGCTACAAGGCAGGATGGAGGAAGGGAACTAGTGAGGCTGATACACAGGAGCTGTCAGACTCAACAGATCAATGGCCCCTCTAGCCTGGGATCCCGCCTCCATCAAAGGCCAATGCGGGAGGCTCAGAATGCCAACTGTGTGAGGCTACAATAACCAGGAGCTCAAGAGACCCCTCCCCTGAGCCTCCCTCCCCTCAGCAAGCAGCTCCTACCCCATAGGCAGTGCCTCACCTCCTGCAGCCTCTCGATGTGGGTCCGACAGACCTCCAGGTCACTATCTCCCGGAACCACAATGATCCCTAGGGGCACAGCTGAAAGCAAAGCACAGACATCTCAGGGAGCTGCCTGCTGCTAGGGCTTCTACCTAGTCCCTGAGAGAGCACGGCCACTCGCCAGAGACATGCTGAGAACAACATAACATGGGGCTGGCCACAGCCACCCAGAGACTACAGTTCAAGCATGCAACACTCCATCTGCAGCCCACATGGCTTGGTTAGGGCACAGCTGCAGCCTGCCAGAGCTGCCCCTGTGTTCAGTGCTCAAGAGGCCTCGCCCACCACCCCCAGGGATGGCACACTCCTAAAGTCCCCAGGCACTTGGGCTGGCCACTCACAGGCTTCCTTGAGCTTCTCCTTGTCGTAGTGAAGTGCCTCATAGTCGTGCATGCTGATACGGTTCACCCGGATTCGCAGCCGCTCAGGCACTGGCTGCTGGCTGCACGCAGGCCGGAGGAAAAGGGAAAGGGTTAGAAAGGAGGCCCTACAAGTGTAGGCAGGAGCACCCAGCTACACTAGCCTTGACTCCTCCAGCGAGAGGCAACTGAGGAAGCTAGGCAAGAGCACTGGCTTCAGGTGCCAACTTAGGGAGCTCCCAGCTATGCAGCACTTGTCTCTCCCAGCCAGCAGCACTGTAAGCAGAAGTGGAGCTGCACTGTTATGGCTGGCTAGGGACACAGGGCAGCGCTCCCAGCCACCCCAGGACTTGACTCCCCCAGGGAGTGGTGCTGGAGGCTGTGCGGCAGAACCCCTTGCTAACCCAGTTCCAAAAGCAGGTGAGAAGGGGAAGGGCTACATTTTTTTGCAGCTGATGGCTGCCATAACTCAAGCCACCCAGAATAAACACTCCCCCTTGGACTGGTACAACCCCCCCGTGCCCTTTGAGGCTGCGTCTGGGGCTCCCAGGGTTTCCCTGCGCCAGGTGAACGTACTCATTGAGCAGGGGCATGGAGTTGCGTCGCTTGGTCTTCTGCACCATATTGGCCTGGTTGCGTAGGGAGATGTGAATGCAGGAGGCTGCCAGCTTGCATGGCTCCCCGTCCACCTGCATAGGAATGGCCTTGGCTGTGGTGAGCATCACCTCCTGGCACTGGTGCAGCCGCTCTCCATGTCCACCCACCTGCAAGGCAGCCAGCAACAGAACCAGGGTTACAGCAGGGCTGCCTGCGGGGAAGAGGCTCACCAGTCACACCTCACAGCAGCACCACTTGGAGTCACAACCACACTGAACTTGAAAGTGAAAGGACTCATCTTCACAGCCTCAAGTGAAAGGAATCATCCACAGAGACTAGCACACACTGGAGCCGTCAACTGCGCTCTCAGCTCTGGAGAGGCCCTGAACGGGGAGGCAGGAGCAGAGGCGTAGTGAGGGTGTTATGCACCCAGGGGCAAAGGAAAAATTTGCACTTCCCACTCCTGCCGCCACCATGTGGCAGGGCCCTGAACCTGGTGCACAGCTGAGTCTGACCCTGGGAGAGGGGGCGGGGGGCAGAGGGGAACTTGTACCGCATCTTCCCCCGCTCCCTCCAGTTTGGGGCCGAGCCCTCGCATGCATTAACCCGCTGGTAGAGATGGAGGAGGGACAGAGGAGGAGGCTCTAGCCGCCTCCAGCAGATGGAGGACGAGCAGTCAAGCCAAGGGATGTTAGGGGGAACGCAGGGGGACTAAATTGGTGCCCCTGCCCCCAGCATGGCTCCCGGGGGTAACTGCCCCCCCTCGCTACACTACTGTAAGATTTGATGGTAGAAGGTAACTTTGTGATCCTTTTTTCCCCATATACAGCTTGCATCATATAAAATTAAAGCCTAAGTAGGAAGCATCGTAATATTCATAGACAGAACTCTGTGATTTAAGAAGAATGCATCTCCATATGTTATGCTCCATTGTAATAATTTTTCCAGTAACAAATAGAAAAGAGGCTGAGCAGTTGTGATTAGATTAATCAAGAGAACCTCTGTGACATACCTGCTCTACTAAAGGGGCAGCAGAGCCTTTATTTCCAGAGATGTTTTCCAAACTAAGACATTTCAGAAGTACAGAAACAGCATAACATGCTGCCCCTTTAGCAGGTTAATTTTTAATTAAACACCACAGCTCTTGCTCACCATGAAGAGCAGGTATGTCACAGAGTTACTAGCTTGGCCTCCTTGAAGAGGCATTAGTCGTGATTTAGCTCCAGAGGACATTTTTCATTCTGTTGAAAAAACAGTCATAACAAACTGGGTCAGGAAGTGATGTGTAGGTGGCGATTAAATCAGTAATGCCTCATATATCAGGGAATTCAGAAATACACTAAATATATGGCGATAGCAATAAATAACACAACATAAATTGCAAAGTTTTACAGAAGCAATTTAATAATAGTTCAGACCAGAGACCTGCTCCTACTTCTATTGAAGTTGGTAAAAATGTTGTTTCTGACTTTAATGATGGCAGGATTGGTCCATATCCTACCTTTGATCATGTACTCAAAAATGGCAAACAAAAAGTAAATTCAGTTTGTCCAGAACTGTACATACATGTTACTGCTGTGGCATCTTCTGACATCTAAATAAAAACATTACACTCTGCACCAGGGGCTTGTCTGAGTTCCTTAACCATAAGATGATTTATTGTTCAATTCTGAAAGCTAAAATTAAGCAACTCAATTGAGATGTGACTCTGCTTGTATTTAGATTCCTGTGGTAAAATCCACATGGGTTTGAAAAATGTTTGTAAACCATTTTCTATGGTACAAAATGAGAGATTCAAAACCTGGAACCTTCTTTCAACATGAAAGCTGAGCTAACTGTAATCATTTGCACATTGTTTGGTGGTGGGTTTGTTCTCTCATTTTTTTAAAATGTAAACTAAATCTGTTTTAATGAATTCTTACTTGACCTTCATAGTTTGATTCACTAATAATTTTGCTTTCTGTTTGTTGCTGACTAATCTGGTAGTGTCTTTTTCTTTGAATTGGATTGGTTCTAACTTTCCTTTTTACTCTGTCCTTTCCTCCTGTAATAGCTTTTCTTACCTATTGCTGCAAGAATGTCTCAGGAGTCTTACTTTGAAACTAAAACAGAGGAGTCAAACAGTGCAGAGATGTCATGTCAGATCACAGCAACAAGTAACGGGGAGGTAGCTGGCATGAACCAAAGTCTGCAGGCCTTGATGATGACGGGCTTTGGGGATATCTTCTCTATGAACCAAGCAGGATCTGTCCTGCATTCTGGAATGCAGATAAACATGCAAGCCAAAAAGAATTCTTCTAAAACCACCTCTATGAGAAAGGGGAAGAAAATCAACATGGCTGTGGGTTTCAGAGAGTTTGACTGGTCAGATGAAGATGATGATGATGATTATTTTGATGATACCGATGATTCTAGTGAATGAAATTAGAAATCTAATTAAATCTACAATTGGATTCTAGCAAATCAAAGCAATAAAGTTTCAGAAAAAGCATCCTGTCATTTTGGTCTGTTTTAAACCCTGTAAAAGAAACAAAATGAAAAACACTACTTTTTTTTAGGCCAGTCATAATTTGTATGTTACAAAGATATCTTGTTGGTTTTTAGATTGTGTTGACTTATTTTTGTTTTGCTGACATTTGAAACTAAAATTTCAAAACAAATCAAGGTTTTTAAAACCCAACAAATATAGCTGCAGCTCACATTTATGCTGTAACATTTGGAAATTTTTGTGGCTGAATATCTTTAAGATGAGAACTTAACATCTATTTACTTAAACTGACATCTGTTACTTTTCTCTGGTTTTCTATGATTCTATGCTGCCTGCATGGGGTTAGATAGGGGCTGGTGCCCCCTAGAGGGGACAGGTCCCCAGAGCCCATCCATACCTCTCTGTGAGCCAGCCTGTGCCCACTGCCCTGGGACTGAACCGGAGCCAGCGTACCTTAGAGAGGCCCTCTAGCCTCCTGTGCACCAGTCGGATTTTTGTGCCAGGCCACTCCCTCAAGTGGATCCCTTGAACTGGGGGTCAGGTCAGGCCCTATTCTCTCCCACACTGTGGAGTCCCTGGGACCGGGCCCTGTGGTGCCTCTAGGCAGGTGTTGCGGCGCGAGGGGAGTGAATTGGCTAGGTCCGAAGCATTCCCCCCACAAGGCTCAGCAAGCCTGGGAGCAGGGCTGAGCGGGTGGGAGAAGTGGGGGCAGGGGATGGCTGCCAGGTATCAGTCTCTGCCCCTCACTGCCGTTAGTTGGGCTGCACCATGGGCTGGTGGGCAGCTCCCAGGACTGTCTCCTTTGAGCAGAGGCGGCTTGATTGCAGCACGAGCTAGACAGGGTGTGATTGCTGAAGTCCCCCCCCCCACCCCACGGTTGTTCCTCACATTAGTCAGATTGCAGTGAGCCAGGTTATGCCGGGCTGTGCTGCAATCACATCTTCGCTACCCATATAGACAGCCCCTGAACCACTGGACAC